GCGAACTTCTTCTTATTTGCTTTTTTAAATGTAATTTTAATTCTCAAATTATAAAAATGTACTCCATATTCCAAAAATTCAAATAACTTAAGGAAAATGTATATATATATATACATAATGTAAAATTTGTCTTTCTCCCACCCTATTCCATTCCCCAGAGGTAACTGTTTTGATAAGTTTCTTATGCAACTTTTTAGAGTAGTCCATTGTGTTAGTCAAGGATCTCAAGAAAAGCAGAACCAATAGGATGTGTGTTGGGGGAGGGGAGAAAGAGAGATTTTTTTTAAGGAATTGGCTTGTATGGTTATGGGGGTGGACACATTCAAAATTTGCAGGGTAGGCTGGCAGACTAGAGACCAAAAGAGGAGTTGATACTGTAGCTTCAAATCTGAAGAACATTTAGAGACAGAATTCCTTCTTGCTCAGGGGACCTTATTCTTTTTCTCTCAAGGCCTTCAGCTGATTGGATGAGGCCTACATATATTATGGAGGGTAATCTGCTTTATTGAAAGGCTGCTTACTTAATTGTTAATCACATCTTTAAAAAACACCTTCATAGCAGTATCTAGTGTTTGACCAAAAACTGGCCATGGCCTAACCAAGTTGACATATAAAATTATTACATCTATATACAATTATAACACATATCTATATGTTTTTTAAAAAAATAGAAAGCATAGCATGTCATACACACTGATACACACTTGAGGGACAACTTTCATTGTTTTATAGAGTAGGAGGAATCTCAAAGGAGATATACCTTTAAAACATATGAAAATTGGTAATTTTATATTATAGAAGAAAAGGCATAATTAATATAAAAAGGACAAAAAACAGCTGCGAAACATTTGCTAGTGGTTAATGTTTACATTATATAAAGGTTCCCACATATTGAAAAGAACACTGAGACCACAATCTCAAACAGCCAGTTCATGAAGGCAAAGCTGAAGCCAGGGTGTAAATATTTAAAAGATGTTCAACCCACTACCAATCAAAGAAATGTCAAGTGAGTCAAGTAAAACTTCACATATATATTAAACACATTTTTTTTAAAGAAAAAGGGTAAGCAAGATTGTTATGAGACTTAGATGCAAATTGCAATGCTCATGTCAGTGAACTAGTCAGCCTTGCAAAAGCAGTTTGGCAGGATGAATCACAAGCTATAAAATCATGCCCCTTGGCCTAATAATCCCTTTTCTGGGAACTTATCTTAAAATAATTCTAGAGATGGCAAAAGGCATAGATCATGAGGATGTTCATGGTAATGTTATTTGTACAATCAAAGAAATAAAAACAAACTAAATACCCCAAGGACATAGGAATATAGGATAATTATTATTACTTTCATAAAATACAGCCATTAAAAATCAGTACAGAGACAGGAACATTGCATATACGCGTTATTTTAGTGTTACATCTAACAAATAATTATGTCTTAGCCCTAATTACAGTGAAAACTGTGTACATGTGGACAAGAACGTAGAGGAGTGTGGAAACCTAAAAACAGTTTGATCCATTGGAATAGCAGAATTGTAGTGACATTTCTTTTTCGTTTTAGTTTTGTTAATATTTGTCTGAGTTTGCTCAGGCTGCTGTAACAGAGTACCAGAGACCGGGTGGCTTATAAAAAGTAGAAATTTATTCCTCACAGTTCTAGAGGCTGGGAAACTCTAGATTAAAATGCTGACGGATTCTGTGTCTGGGGAGGGCCCGCCCCCTGGTGCATGGACAGTTGTGTTTTCACTGTCCTCACGTGGTCAGAGGGCCTAGTTAGCTCTGTGGAGTCTCTCGTAATCCCAGCCATGAGGGCTCTGCCTCATAACCTAAGTACCTCCCAAAGTTCCTACCTCCAAGTACCATCACACTGGGGACTAGATTTCAATATGTGAATTTTTTCAGGGGGTACACAAACATTCAATGTATAGCAATAGTGTTTTAATATTTTTACAATTATAACTTTCCAAAAAATAGCAATAAGTTAGCATTGTTCCAAACATTAGCCTCAAATTGAAGTTATCATTTTGTAACTAGAAAAGACTTTAAAGATCATTTGATCCTCTCTATCTTCCCCTCCCCGATGGTGATGGTTGTACGTGTGGAATTTTAGGTCAAAGCACTTGTGACTTGTCTCCACAGAGGAGGGGATCTTGTAGATGATGCGGCGGAGAGCTTCCGTTCTCTGCTCGGGAACTAGACATGTCTCTGTTGATTAAGCCTGTAGAGATGCTTTACAACATTTAGATGTTAAATATCTATAAGAGAAAAGAAATATTGGAAGCAAACTGCATTCCTATACCAGTAAAATTAAGTCTCTTTGTAATATTAAAATAATAGCTAATAGTATTCCTAATACTTCCTAGTTATTAAGGATATTTTGTTAAAATTATGATATAATAATGCTTCAGGCTACATAAAGACCCCTTGGATCATTGCTTATCTTTGTCCTCATCTAAAGCTTCAGATCAATTTTCTTTCCCATGAATACAGGTACCCAGTGAATGAAGACCCAACAAGGAAAAAAAAATTGGTATAAATATTTTACTGTGTTTTTTTAATTTTATGTCCCATTTCTTGTTCTTTTCCTCAGATTGAAAGAAATTTTCTCAGTGTCTGTGGACTACTGCTTCCATTTATTGACTTATTTTCCAGTTTTGGAATGCACTAGTAGAGATTATCTTCAATATGGGAGATTTCCCAATTAGCAAAAAATGATTTGCCAAGCAGGAAAAAGATAGCTGTACATGCTCAAGTTCCTACTAGTGCATGCCAGGAAGGCAGATTTGGTGTTAACTCCCGTGGTGAACATGTTTTTCAGGGTGGATCACTTGTACACATTCTTTGTTCAATGGTCTCCTGACGTCTATGGGAAAGATGCCAAAGAGCAAGGCTTTGTGGTGGTAGAAAAAGAAGAACTGAATATGATTGACAACTTCTTCAGTGAACCGACCACCAAGAGTTGGGAGGTGAGCCTCAAGAGAGGGTTAGACTGTCATAGTCCTTATAAAGTACAGTGTGCAAATAAAACGTTCTTAAGTCCAAATTCCAGGAACTTCTTGGCTGGCAAGGTTAGGTTTCCTGTGCACCCTTGAAATTACATGAGGAAAAACCCTATGCCTCTGTTTGAAGCTAGTTATGTGTCAGAAAAGACCTCATCACCACCACTACCACTCAGTAATTTCAATTCTCTTTTGAAACTGCTGCCAGGTCCCCATTACACACAGGGCAAAAGTCAAGCTCCTTAATTTGACCTGTAAAACCCTTCATGATTTGTTGAGCATTTACCAAACCCTTCTCGTGTTAATGGTATGACGGATAAGTAGAATTTAGCATCAAAGAGTATAGATAAATAATTACAATATAATGAGATAATTGCCATTGTAGGTGAAGTGCCAAGTGCTGTAAGAACATGTGTCCAGGCACCTGAATGGAGCTGGAGGGGGTTGGAGAAAGCTAATCAGAAGGAGTTATCTGAGCTGAGATGGAGAGAAGTGAGAAGAAAGGCAGTTGGGGTGGAAATGGGACATGGAACATGTTCTGGCCAGAGAGAAAAGTCTGTGCAGAGGAATGACTCGGGGGGAAACAGAGTTTGGGGCATTTGATGAACTAATAAAGGTTTAGTGCAGGTGGATCATGGAGTGGCAAGAAATGAAGCTAAAGACAATGAAATGGCAGATCACAGAGGACCTGTGAACCATTACTAGGAGTCTGGTTATTTTCCTAAGGGCAGTAGGAAGGCATTGAGCTGTTCTGAGCCTGGAGAAGTAAACACAGGTACGCATTTTGGAGAGCTCGCTTTTGCTGGTAGATGTTCAATAGATTGGAGTTGGACAACACTTGAGGCTTGAAAACCCATTAGGAGGTTCTCACAGTAATCAGTGTTGAGAGATAACAGTTGCTGAGTGAGGACAGAAAATTGAATGCTTTTGAAAGATAGTTGGATGGTGAAATACCCAGGGTTTTGTGAGTAATTAATTACATGTGGAAAGTAAGGAGGATGTCGAGACTGATCTCTTGGTTTTTAGAGTGGGAACTGGAGGGATCTAGGTGCCTGCCCTTCACTGCAATAAGAACTACAGCAAGAGGATTAGATTTAGTAGAAATCACTCTGTGTTTTGGCTTTAATCTAAATATGAGGTGTCTGTGGAGTGTCCAAGAGACAACTGAGACTAAAACTTGGGAAAAAGAGCTGAAGATATACTTTTGGAAGTCATTAATGAAGCTGAAGTTGTGGGTGTAGATGAGGTTGTCCTAGGAAAGTATATCCAGTGAGAAGGGAACAGGGCTCAGAACAGAACCCTTAAAGATACCAGCATTAAAGAGGCCAAAGACAGCAGAGCCCACAAAGGTGAGTGGGAAGAAAAGCCCAGAAAGGGCGTGGAAAACAAGAAAAGTCATGTCTTAGAAGCGAAGGGAAGAGAATGTTTCAAGAGGGGAGTAGTGGTCAAAAATGACTTATGCTGCAGAGGAGTCAGAAGGTAAGAACCAAGGTATCTTTTGGATTTAAAACCAAGAAGTAGTTGGTGACTTTGACAGAAGCAGTTTCATTAATGTGGTAGCTTCAAAATGTAGCTTCCAGTGGTTCAAAGAACCAGTGAGGGATGAGTAAGTGGAGATAGTAAAGGTGGGCAAACAACTAAAATTTGGTTTTGGAGAATAAAAATGAGGTGGGAAACTGGAAGAAGAGGTGAGAGCAGGGAGGTTTTCCCTCTTGTGAGGGAGACTGTACCCTTTTGGATGAGGTCAGTGGGAACGGTAGAGTAGAAGGTACAGGAGACAAGGGAATAAGCACGAGAGTGGATCTCTGAGAATCAGCAGGGGATGTGAGGGTAGGGATGGGATTGGTGTGAGGTGGCTGAGCAGCAGAAAAGGATAGGAGGTGTACGAACAGAATGTGGATTCAGTGGTGGTAGATCACAGCATTGCCCATTTGACGTTTTTTGGTTTTTTGGGTTTTTTGCAGTGGAAGCAGGGGGCATCTCCTAGAAGTGAAGGAGGGAGGACTTAGAGGAACATGGAGAAGGTCTGAATTAGCATCTGTAGAGACTAGGAAAAATGCTGAGGAACTTACAGTAGGATGGCTGTCTGGTGTTGCAGGCCCTGGTGGGGTCTGGCACCCGGCTGCAGTGAGGGGTGGTTTTCTCCAGCAGTGCTCACACTCTGGTTTTAAACTCATCAAGTGGGTGGTCTGATCCTTGCAAGGCTGGAACTCTGCCAGGCTGGGATGACTAAGGATGAGGGGGCCTGCCCCTAGGGTCTAATTCCTTCTGGAATGCCGGGTCCTGTGCACGTTTGCCTTCACCCGTCCCTTTTTCATTTACTCCTCGCCAGCCTGAGTGTGTGCTTGCAGCTTTCTCTGGCAAACTCCTGTCACGCTGCAAGGTCCAGCTCACTTGTCACTTCTGTGAGGCTTTCAGCCGGTTACGCCTGCTGTCCTCCCACCGCCCGTGGCTCCTAGCTCTGTGGTTATATTGCCCAGCAATTCACTTGTTTACATGTTTGTCTTCCCATAGTTCACAAGCTTCTTGTTTGAAACCACTGATTAAAAATATGTAGGCCTATTAGGCTCTCCTTCCCTTGGCTTTTCATTATCAATTCTGTTGTTTTTGTTTTTATTTTTTTCTGTTTCCTCCTGTCTCTGGCCAGTCTTTCCGAGTATATTTTGCTTGTTCCTCTTCTCATGGTGCTCCCTGCGAGTTTATCCTTGGCTCTCTTTACTGCTTATCTATTGTATCTTCTTTGCATGAGCTCGTCAACTTCCAAGGTTTACGCTACTGACTCCCACATCAGTGTCCACCACCCACCTCTTTCTCCCAGGCTGCTCTTCTAGAGCTCACAGATGCCCCACAGCGCTGCTGGGTCTCCATGAGGCAGACATGGTGTGACATTTGCATTCTGGCCAAGGCATTCAGGAATACAGAGTCCTGTCCTCCTCACCTAACCAGCCCTGCCCAAGAGGCCCTCAGGAGATACGTGCACAGAGGAAGGAAAGCTAGGAAAGGCATTTTTCCTAATGAGGTTATGGTCTCTTGCCCCAGCACGGAGTTCCAGAGAGCAGGTTTAAATTGCATTGGGGCCTTAATCCTTTCCCGACTAGGCCTGATTATCTTGAGCCAAAGCAGCACTCTTTTAAGGCCTGTTCTGCCTCTTTCCACTGATCTCAACCTTGAATCTCAGCTCTTGATGACTCCAGTGGGAGAAGAGGTCACATCTACCACTGCCAGAGGACAAGGAGCTACAGAGGCCTGCAGAGAGAGAAAGGTCTGCTTCCGGATCTAGGGTGGAGTAGAATGGCTTTGGGCACTGTCTGCCCTAGGCCTTCTCAGGCTTAGCCACTGAGGAAAATGAAAAAGCAAATCCCTCTAGAAGGTGTCTCTAGACCCTTAGTGGAAGAGGAAGAAAGGGGTGGAGGACGAAGAAATGAGTTGGCCTGTTCCAGGCTCCTAGTGCTCTTGGTTAACACTTGGGACACATGGAAAGCAAAGATAACTGGAGAGAGGGGTGACTGGACTGCTATCCCTGTTTCTTGCCACATGGAAGAGAGAATTCAGAAGTACAATGAGGAGAAGAATGCTGGCCCAGCTCCCTCCCATATAGGAGCAAACTCTGCTTACTAGCATCACCTGAAGGCCAAGCCACTGTAATCGCATCTCTCCTCTGCGGGTGGGGAAGAGGAATCTTCATTCCCCTAGCAGGTATCTGATCCTCAGCATGTCGAAAACATCTCATTATCTCTCCCCAAAACTTGCTTCTCCTCGTGTATTCCCATCTAATTAGCACACCCTAAGCCAGAAACCTAGATGTCATCCCAGGTTCCAGGTTCTTCTCTTTCATCATCATTTCTAGTCAGTCATCTCTAGTCAGAATTTGTTGATTCTGATCTTATGTGGGTTGGGAACCATTGCCCTAGTCAGCTGTCTGCACCCTTCGCTTAAGACTCCCAAGGGCACCTCCAACCCCAACCCAAACACCAGCCCATCCTCTATTCCCAAGCTTTTTAAATAAGCTTTATTTACTAATTTTATAAAACTAACACCTGCTTATCGTAGGAAATTTAGAAACTACAGAAAAGTACAATGTAGAACATTTTAAAATAACATCTAACCACACTTAACACTTCTGCACATTTTCTTCCAGTCCTTTTTTCTACTTTAGGGTGTTTTCTAAGGGGCAGGAGTGGGGAGAGTGAGTCTTTTTATTTTTGCAAAATGGGGTCATGTTCTATTTATAGTTTGATATCTGGCTTTTCTCACCTGACATCTTAGGAGAACTGTATCATATTAAGGATTCTGAAGCCTCATTTTAATGGTTACATAATATTTTAAACATCTCAATCATGATTTATTTAACAGTTCCCACTTTTAGGAAACATTGTGTTGGTTCAGGTTTTTCACAAGGATGAGATGACCTGTACCTCTGACTGTTCCCTAGTTTTCTGGAAGTGAAATTACTTGGTATCAGGCTACTAATTTTTTAAGGCTCCTAATTTTTAAAATAATGACAACTTAACTTGCCAGAAGCGTGAGGAATACCCTTCTTCTCCCTGTGCTTCTGCCAACAGAGTGTTGTTATTATTATTTAATTCTTTAAGTTGTTACTAATTTCTTAAAAAGCTGAGAAATGATATATTGATTGTTTTGTGTCCTGGGCTTGACAAAGCACCTGGCATCATATAGAAAGCGCTCACTAGATGGTACTGAAGAGAATGCTGTCTCACTGCACAAAATCCAAGTGATCCGCCTCAGGTTGTGTCCAGACTCTTGCATTGAGAATGAGTTCTGGCTGACCTGAGATTGGTCACCAAATATCTGCCAGAGTCCTCATGAGAACTGACCCCCAGGAGGAGCTATGCAGTAGCACTCCATCTCCCAGGGGTACCGGAGACTGAGAGGCAGGCCGTTCTGGATCTGACAAATTCACAGAGAGATCACTGAACCTGATCCAGTGGTGATCTGCGTTCCTTCCTAACCCCCTGACACTTGATCTGGGCAGTAGAGGAGGACTCATCATGCTCATTAGTCATTAAGATTAATGTTTCAAAAGGTTAAAAGGTAAATATTACTCTGCCAGCTCTTTTGAAAAACTGAACCTAAAGTAACATTTTTCTCAGCCTCATAAAAACCAGATGTTCTCCCATTCTTTGAAGTTCTTATTCCCAACAAATATGACATGGTATTGAAGTGAAACACCATTGTTCTAAGTATAGCAAACCTACCTTGGGTAAAAGGCTCCTTTCCATCCTTCCTTTGAGATTCAAACTGATGTCAGAAAACATACATAAAGTTTTAAAATGGAGGTTTAGCTTTAGAAGGTGCAGGAAAGGAAAAAAAAAAAAAAACCCTGTAAAAGCAGGGCTAGAAAAGCTGGCTCAGCCGGCTGGAGGACAATTAGGAAGAAAGTATAAGATGAAGAAGAGGGGGAAAAAAATAAAACAATGGGGTTTTGTTGTACTGTTAGGAAATCACCGTTTCAAAGGTGAAAGTGTCATTTTACAGCCTCACAGCTTTGCCTAACAGGAAGTGTGTGTTTGCTCTAAATCCTAATTTGGGTGTGTTCCTGTAGAAATATCGAACCTTCTCCTAAGGGAAACAGAAACTCAGTCGTGCAGGAAACTAGATACTACATAAGCAGTTGTAGCTCGGCGTGGCTCTAAGTAACAGTGGTGTGGAGGCAGGCAGAGGAAAAACCTGTTCCACATTAGAGAGCAAGCAGGCAGTTCCCACCGGGTCACCATGAGAGTCCGAAGATTGCCTGTGGACATTCAGATTTTCTACTGTGCCAGACCGGACCAAGAGCCTTTTGTGAAGGTATGTTGGAGTCCTGAGAGCTAATTAGGTGCCCGTGAATCCTCAGAGCTCTGCCACTCAGTATGCAATGAAATGGTTTCCAATTAGAAAGGACTGTGCTGACATTGCAACCAGAGCAGGTATTTTATCCGTTTTGGAGATGGATATGGTGTGTTCTGCCCCTTCCCTTTGAGATCAAAATCCATATTTGACTGTTTTCATTGTATAGCCACATTTTGTACCTTTGTTAAATGTAGAGATCCCCCAAAACATGTGATTTATTTAATACATTTAAAATGCTGGAGTTGTGATTCTTTGACAGTGTTTTCTTTAAGTAAATGTCCCTTGAGAAGATGCTAAAGTTTAAGGGCTAATTTCCATATCAGTAAATCTGGCACAGACCACAGCGTTTTGGAAACTGAGTAGTCATTATCTGACAATCTGTACTAGACGTAACTTAAGTATTTTTTCTCTATAATGCAGAAATCATTAATATTGGTACCCAGGTGAATTTTGGTGAATTAGTTACCTTCTGTCTATATCCTTCAATTCAAAATAATTCATTGATTTATCCAGTCTTTCAGAGAGACCAAGAAAAAAAAAGATTAAGGTGAAATTGACTTTGGTAGTTTATAAGTGTATCCACAGTGAAATAAATGTTGTGTACAGCATCATGTTTCTGTTCTCAGTTTTGAAGGAAAGATTACTTTGATGGTTTCTGAACAGTACATAAAGAATCGTTACCTAATTGTAATTTAGACTGAAATTTGGTGTCTCTTTGTATTTTTCTCTCGGCAGATGTGACCATTTGCTATTTCTGTCTGTTGCTATGTGCACACCCTTGAGAGAAAGCAGGAGTCTTGATTTAAAAACTATCCTTATCTTCCCAATTTCCCTATTTATAGAAGACTTACAGTATGAGCTCTGATTAGTCCCTTAACAATTTAGGGCATTTCAAAGGTGTAAGTCCCTTGTAGAATTATACATAATTCTCACTCAATGTCTGGGCAATAGTGAACTGGAAAACTTGTGACTTTAATTTGTACATATTAATTAAGTGCTGCAGCTGTACTGTGTTAAATCCTACATTTGTTCTGACATTGAAATTGTAGTTAGCTACTTCTCCCAAAGTCCTGGTTCAATTTATGTCCTGCCACTAAAACCCCACCTGTTATAGGCAGTTGTGTACCTGAAGTCCTTTTCAAAAGCAGGCGAAGGAAAAGCAAACACATCATTTTTCTCAGTTTGTCTGTCTTCTCCATTTCAGATTATCACCGTTGAGGAGGCAAAACGCAGGAAGAGCACGTGCAGCTACTATGAAGATGAGGAGGAGGCGGCCCTGCCGATCCTGCAGACCCACAGCGCGCTTCTGGAGAACATGCACATCGAGCAGGTGGGCTCTCCCGGGGACTTGTGATAGGGGTATTCCAGGCCTTAAAAAGCTTTTCCCATCCCTGACGTTTGCTCTTCCACTCAGGGTGAAGGATGAGCCAGGTTTTAAAGGAAGACACCAGCAGCCTGTCCAAGGCCAGTGTCCCCTTCTCTGCTTCGGAAAGGCGGCATCATGGCTACCTTCTTGGGAGTGTGAGGACTTGGCAACACACCTACATCCATTCCCCAAACCTGAATAGAAAACCATTTCTTGTCTTCAAAACAATTTTTAAAGTGGCCTACAACAGCCCTAATGCATTTAAAAAGGACCCAAATTTATACTAATGATTATTGCAGAGTTACAGTGGTTTTAATTTATTGGGCTCAATAAGTCATATAGCAAGGACACTTTACTTGCTTTTTGAAAACCACCTACCACTGGGTGTAATTTTCCCTTTTCTGTATTTTTCTTTATTTACTTTCTATTTTCTGAAAATCTGTTGACTTCAGTTTTTATGAAATACTACAATGTGCTTGTATTTGAACTTTAGTAAGGGACCTCTTGTACTGTCTCCGTCAGTCAGCGTAGAAACCTGAATTTTAGGGAACTTAAAGACTTATCCAGCTCAAGCCCCTCAATTTACAAATCTGTAAGACCCAGGAAAGCCAGTAGACTTGACCAAGCAGTCAAGGAGATGGAGCTCATGCTGATGCTGGAAATATGTCAAGCATCCTGAAGACTTCAGCACTTTACAGTGCCTCTTTTGTTTGCATTTCTGAAGACATATGCATTATTGATATTTATGGCGCCAAGTTTAAGTTAAATATTAATGTAAGTGAACGATACAAGTGCAATGAGGACAGACTACCATTGACTAGCAGCATGAAACAGCCATGTTTTCTTGTTCTCACTTCAGGGGAAGCTGCAGTTATCAGTGGCAGCTCTGAGCCTATTAGGTTTTAGAAAGAACAGTCGGAGAAACATGAACTGCCTGGTGAGAGTCAGGCTGAAGTGTACAAGAGGGAGCATGTAATTCATGCCTCTTTTATCAAGCTAGGTGCTATACCTTTAAGTGTACAGTGGCATAGTGACCCGTCAGGGTCATTCTGAGACGGAGTGCGTGCTCTGGGCAGCATCCCTGCCAAGGTAAACACCATCAAGCAATAATTTTCCCTTCTCAGTTTATAGTGGCAAATATTTGCCAGAGTAAAGGAGAGCAATATGTAAGTAAGTGTGATTTTTGAGTTTAAGCCACAGGCACCTGTTTTATACTACAAGTTCATGATTGATTTGTAGGCACACTGTATATTTACATCTCCATCTTTGGATTCACAGCTGGCCCGACGCCTTCCAGCAAGGGTACAGGGGTATCCATGGAGACTTGCATATAGCACATTAGAGCATGGGACCAGCTTGAAAACTCTCTACCGCAAATCAGCATCACTAGACAGTCCTGTACTGTTGGTCATCAAAGATATGGATAATCAGGTAAGGCTTGTTCCTTTTATACAGGAACATTTTCTAATGAAGATTTTCAAACTTTCGCAACAGTAGGGAGACTAGTACAATGACCTGCCATCACCCAGATTCCAGAGTTAGCAGGATTTTGACACATATGCTTCATTTGTCTTTTTTCCTTTGTTGGCTTTTCTTTCTTAAAGTATTTTAGAGTAAATCCCAATTAATATGTCATTTTGCCCCAATGTGCTTCAGAATGCATCTCTGGAAAGAGAAAATGGAGCTTATCTTCAAATGCAGTCACATTCTAAAGAACTTTTTCTTTTCCTGTGCTCACCATAGAGTAGGAGGCTATAATGATATTCTACAACCTAAAACTGAGGAGGTGGAAGAAGTGTCAAGTCTAGATTTGGAAATAGTTACAGAAGGAAGTTCCAATGCCATACCAGAAATTTCTCCAGGTAGCTGAAGTAGTGCCCACCAACCTTGCTGCATGGTTTTTGAGATGGAGAACCAGTCACGGCCATAGTGGTTGTACCTGAGGACCCTGTCTTTATGAAACGGGAGAAAATGCTCAGCACTTTCCTTATTGCGCTTCTGCCTGGGCTGCAGTTGTTCTTGGAGGCACTGGTGAAATCTAGGTATCACCCCCAACCACCCTACATTAGTAGTTTTTCCCTCGGTCAGCCTGGAGTATGAGAGGACTCTGTCCAGGTTTTTTCATATACTATCCCGACAGACTTCTGCTTCACAAAAGGCAGGCATCTTTCAAGTCTGCTCGTTATTCATTCAGTCTGGTCTGTATTATATCAAGGAGAGATTCCTGTTTAAGACGTAGATATCATTATTTTCTCTTCCTGGCACTGAAGCAGGTTTTATTCAACAAGTCATTTATTCACCCATTCAGAAAATATATAATGAGTGCCTATTAGGTAAGGGCCACCATTGAGCACTGGGGAGCTTGCTATGAAGCCATATAATTGGGATCATTTTAGGGGAAATAGAGTTCTGCTGTCATAATTTGTCTTGGGAAAAATTAGCAGAGAGATGGGGGTATTAAAGACGCTGTCTTTCTCAGCTGGTCTTTCTTGTGGCTTGGTTGCAGTGTAACTGTAGATTAAGGGTTGTGCGGGGTAGTTTAGCTATTAGCATTGTTACCACTATTATTTACTGATAGATGACACTTGGATTATTTAATCATAATCCAACCTGAATAGTAGGGAGAGTCAAGTTAAAAATTTACATAATAATAGAGGTTTCAAATGGAATTACTTAGGGATTTAATGAAATACATGTTTAGTTAAGTGCTACATTTTAGATGAGATAAAACTAGGTGGGTTTGGACCACACACACACACCCCTGCATCATTAGTATAGATTAGTTCTCCTACTAATTTACCAAAAATAATAAACATGTTGGGGAATGTGTTGGCTGCAGAGTGGGTTTGGATGACAGTTTCACACAGCTTCCTGTCAGCAGATATGTAAAGGGGGCCTACACCTGAATGCTACGCTATTTGTCCAGAGGTATAAACATACTGAATCTGGTACCCTGGGGGCACCTGTGTTATGTGAAGGCAGCTGGACACTAACTCTGCCTCCCCACCCCACCTACCCTCCAGGCAAGAATGTGGTTTTACCATGTTGGAGAACATGATAGAACAACACCTGCAAATTTATCTGGAAGTGAATTATATAAAATTCTAATATAAAAGCATTACATATGCAGAATGGCAGGCATGGGCAGCTCTACAAAATCAGTCCCCAGTGAAACAGCCGTTACTAGTAGAAATAAAAACAGCAGTCACTTAAAGTCTCTGGAAATTGCCCTGAGGGCACACAGCAAGTGAAGAACCATTTGCGGAGATAAATCTCCATAGTAAGAGTGGGATTTCTGTGCCACCTGAAGCACAGCCTGCTCCCTCCCCATCCCCCATTCAGATGGACAGAAGCTTCCCTCTGAGCACCTGTGGTCAAGGTGAGCCTCTCTCAACCCCCAGCTCGCAGGCAAGGGGCATGCTATGCCCCCTCAAGGGGCAGACGCCAGCACTTTTTATCCCCTGCCCAGGATCTGTGTTTCGGAGGCTGAATTTCAGGCAAGTGTCACCTGGAGGCAAGGGGCTTTCTTCCTCTCACTGGCCCCTACTCTGAGGACAGAAGCCCTGCATTAGGCAAGGCCGGCTGAGAATACTGGGGTCTCTTCTGCCTTTGCCCCAGCTTTAAGGGCAGAAGTGCCACGTCAGGTGAGGGGAGCCGAGACCAGCAGCTGCTGCCCTGCCCAGCGTAAAACACGATTGTCCCTTTGAGAGAAGCAGGCCCCCACTCCAAAGCAGAGCCCGTAGCTCCTACCTCCAGGGAAAGAGGTGGACCATAAGACATACAGCTCAGAAGCTCTCCCCAAAGGAACTGACATTATTTAGAAGAACATGGGGAAGGAAGTTCAAGCCAAAGGTCATTCTAGAACTAGACAACAAAAATTTTGGTGGTAACAATTCAGAGGAGGCTGGTAGCTCCATGAAGGCAACAAACTGGGTGTTAACTGGTGAAGGAGAGATTCCACAATGATGACAATCCAATGAAAATTATGTCGAAAAATTAAGATATTTTCCAGGTAGAGTCCATTTAAAGCAATGGGATTGGACTCTATCTGGAAAACAGAGTAGGGTTTGGAGGAGAAGGTATATCAGAATCACCTAGGGACATTTTAAAAATATACATGCTCACTCTTGCCAGTCCTCAGCCCCGCAGGTATTGGTCAGGATCTGAGCAGAAGGATATGAAGCTGAAGCAGTGGGCATGAATGTTCTGAAAACACTACTTCCAACCGCCAACAAGAAAAAATAGAAACATCATTGATCCAGATACATCTAAATCATCTCTAAAGCTCACAATATTATGGAATTGTTACTTTTTTCTTAACAGCCAGTTTGAACTAAGAGATATTGGATCAGTCATGTTAAGGATACAGTTTTCATAAGCATATTAAGAACTCATTTTTACAAATCAAAAGAGAACAATTTATTTTCTCTGAGGAAATGGGTTTGGTCACAATTCCACTTATAAAACACATCAGAGACATGCCTTCGTTCTCTCAACCACTCATTTCAGTGTGCAGGATGCATCTTGTTGTTGAATGTTCCCAATGTGTCATCTGTAGTCACTGAAGGAAATTTGTCTTTTTAGTGCACTTTGGAGGTCTTTTAAAATTGGAGTTGTTGGCCTTTGACAAATAAGTTCTCTGAGTCATTTGGGGTCTCATGAGGGCTGAGGACATTTTATTTATCTGTCTGCTGGTGGTCTTTTTTGTTTAGGAGCTCTGATTTGGTAATGATCTTTGCTGAAAGAGATAATGAGATCTCAGAACAGGATTGTGCTTAAAATATTTCAGAAAGCTTTTCTTTCGGAGGTTTATGTTTGAAAGTAGATGACATTTGTTTTCTTTTGACAGATTTTTGGAGCATATGCAACTCATCCTTTCAAGTTCAGTGACCACTATTATGGCACAGGCGAAACTTTTCTCTACACGTTTAGCCCTAATTTCAAGGTAGCTAAATGGAAGAAATACCCACCTTCTTAGTGTCACAGTGTCAGGAGGGTGGGTGGGGTTGGAGGTGAGGGACTCTTGCTGGAGCAGCCGCTGTCCCATCCTGTGAGCTCACCGGGCCTCATTCTAGCCTGGCCAGCACTTCACGGCTACAGCATAGAAACGGCTTAGGTTCCCTCCCCGGGGCCTTGGGGAGCGCTCTTTCGCATGGTCTGGGATCCAGGGAGGAACTGAAGGTCAGAACCAGCATATGCCTGAGAGGTCCTTCTTACCTCCTGACCCCTTGGGAGACCTCATCCTGGTGTGGGAAAGGGCTGGCAGCCAGGAGCTTCCTCAGCCAGTGGGTAGTGCCTTTCCTTACACAGCCACTAGCCTGATACTCCCTCTTTGCTAATTCTCTGTTTTGTTTCTACCCTAAGGTCTTCAAGTGGAGTGGAGAAAACTCATACTTTATCAATGGAGACATAAGTTCCTTGGAACTTGGTGGTGGAGGGTAAGGCTTCTGTTGTTGTTGTTATTAATTTACCACCTGGCCTGAGTGGTTCTGTTTTGACTCAGGTAACCAAAACCTTGGTCCATGTGCTTAGACTATTGAGGACAGTGTGGTCTAACACATGACACCAAGAACTGAAGATAAAATGATTTGTTTGTGTCTCAGTGAGGGACTACTGCCACCTGTCTTTTAGGAAAGATGGGTCATTTAAATGAAATAAAGGAAGTGTACCCCTTATTTACCAGCCGTTTAGGGTTTTGTGTCTATAGCATAAAAGAAAGAAGATGGGTCAAGGGAGGACGGTAAGTGTGCACATAAAACTGAGATGTTTTCACTATTTGTTTTTTCACCCTTTTCAGGGGACGATTTGGTTTGTGGCTAGACGCTGATTTGTACCATGGACGAAGCAACTCCTGCAGCACTTTTAATAATGATATTCTTTCCAAAAAGGAAGACTTCATAGTTCAAGACCTCGAGGTATGGACATTTGAGTGAAATTCAGACTGCCTTAAAATAGAATGTTAACAAGACTGGGTTCAAACAGCCCTCCCAAAGCTGGCTGGAAGATGAAGTCCAGCCCAGACTGCCTCATCCCATCCTAGTGCTTTCTTTCTGCCATCATCTCAGAGCATGATCACACTGAAGAGAGATTCTGAAAGGGACATGTGGAAGGCAGACGATGAAGAAAGAAATCTGAAGTCCAGAGTGTTGGAAGACTTTATACTCTTACTTCCTTCAAATCCATATAGTGAGGAATCAGAATATTTATAGATGTATGAGTTGAATGCAATTTTTATTTTTGGTAACTGTGAAAAAGAAGATACTGTGGAAATATATACATGCCTTGTGTATTTATCAATGTAATTTTCATTACCAAAATGTACAGCATTCTGTTGTTTGCCATGAAAGTTTAGTCTCATTTAGAAAAACTGAAAGTGCACAGCACTTAAAGGGAATATGTGATTTTTTTAACTGTTTTATTTATTATTTCTAGTATATTGTCTGAAATGTGTTGGCAGTTTTTTTCTTTTAATGTGTCAAATCTTGAAATAAAGAAATGTATACATTTTGTGCTATGTTTTGGCAACAAATCCATTTGATTTATATAATTTTATATTAAATTTTTTTGCCCTGATTGTTTAGGGTGATATGTATATGTATGTGCTGCTTAATGTCCATATATATATGGACACATACACATATATATATACAAACACATAATTCTGAATTTTTTTAAACTCATTACCAATGTTTATTAATTTGACTATTGTAGGCCAGCTTTCCATTTACTCATTAAAAAGGTACATTTTTTGTTACCTACTCTGAACATAATTGTGTAAAAAAAAAGTAAGCCATTTCTCACAGTCATAAGTTGATATTTATAGAAATGTATACTTTTAAGATCCTAGAATTAGAACAGACTCTGCTTTTGAAAAGAAAATGTTTTGGTTCTTATAAAATCATGTATGTTAATAACAAAAATTGTATTTTCATTTTTTTGTATAATTTCCCCCAGGTTTTCAAATTAATGAACAGTCCTCTGTTTTAAATGGGACTGTTTTAATTTCTGTATATTATATGAAATGAAAAATGTCAAATTAGCCCAATTGTCTTGGTTTCTGACTATTTGAGAAAAAGCAATGCAAAGAAATGCATTCATACCAAAATTGAAATAAAAAGTAAAACCTGTTTTTTAATATCAACCCACTTTCACATCATGAAACACTCTTTTATTAAAGTTAATAATAAAGCCTTGTTAAAATTTTAACCAATATTACTGACTGCCAGACTTCTACGAAAGCCAAAGACTGCTGATGGAAAAAATTTTCAAATACTAGCCAAAGCTGAGAAAGTGGTCTGTCATAAATTACATACCCAGTGATCTCTTTGAAAGGAAAAATTAAAAAAAAGTAGTGTTTATATACCTGTATTTTTAAAAAGTAAACAACTCTTAGAATGCTGGCCTTAAGCTGTCAGAATATTTCATCTAGCTTACTCTTTTATTTTTAGGCTATTTATAAAAGAGAACAAATTGCCAGGTGGCCTCCTGTCAGATCGACAATTATTTTACTCCATTTACATTCCATGCAAGTTTAAATGAATGCTATAATATCTTAAATCTGTAGCCTGGGTGTACTTGCACCCAAGTTCTACTGAGAACTCTTGTTTAACAACTTATCAGCAGTCTAACCTTAATCTGCTTGTTAAATAATGTGTTGGTGTGAGATATCAGGAATGTCTCATGATGATCATGTTTACCATTTATGCCATTTGCAACCATATGCTATTAACACACAAAATGGTCATTTTGCATATAGTTCACTCCTATCTAGTTTAGTCCATGATATTATACTTGTGAGAGCATATCCAGATGCTGTGTTCTCTATTTAAAACAGTATTGTCCAATCAGAAATGTGTGGCCCTCCATTTATGGCTATTGAGTATATGTAATGCAATGCTAACCCAATATTTTCAATAAAGGAATTTATGCATTCAGTGTGATTTTCTTTCCCTGAGGAGTCATTCAACAGGTACTGCATGCCAGAGTTTTTACCTACGTGAGAGGATGATGAAATATCCAAGACTAAATAAGGTCCAGGGCTCATGTTTTTATTGCTGCCTTGGAAAGTCCCTCTTTGTCTCCTGTAGTCACCCTCCTATTCTCTCATCAGTTCATGAAAATGGCTCCTGTTAACAGTTACTAGAGACAGCTCTTGGCTCTGTCTACTAGTTTCTGTGTTCTTAATCCCAAGTGTTCTTTGAATAGTGACTTCCTCTTAACATCTCTCTCGACCTACTTCCTAACTTCCGTGAGAGATATCTTGCCCTCTGATCCATTTTTTTGACATCTTGTCTCCTAGCCTCTAAAGATGAGGACCTCAAGATGAAGACTTCATTCCTTCCCAATTCCTCAGTTCTTGAGTCTACATTAAAAGACATGGGTGGGACGGGGCAACCAAATGGCTCAGCAGACTCTGCTGAAAATGATTTAGATACAGCCCCATGCTACAAGCCACCAGGGACACTCTGAACTAGTGTGAGAAGTATTATGGCTTTCATTTGATTTCCCTTTCCTTAATTCTTTTTAAAGTTTTAGAGGCATGTGAACCAGGACTAGTAGAAGTACTTTCACTTTGAAGAAGGTGTTAAGAATCTCTCAAACCAGAAAGGGAGGCTGAGATTCATGCTCTTCTTAGGACGCCTAACCTATTTTTACCAATATAATCAGATGAAGAAAGGTACGGAGGTCAGAAACCAAGTTCCAGAAACTAAACATTAGCGGTACTCACCCCTTGTGCAAGTATCAAAAGTACCTCTGACCACTTCCTTGTGCCCAGTCAGGTCACACACTCCTTCTCATTCAGAGGAAGCCCTAACCCCACAGCATCACATCCTCTGCTCCCACCTATGACCATTATCCATAGTGATCTCCAAACAGAAGGTAACTTTACTGAAAAAATTAGGCTTTTCAATGCACACCAAAATCTAAGGTCTTAACTGCCTTCACTCTTCTACTTCAAATCTCTGGTAGTTCAGAATAAAAACTAGACAGAGCCTCCCTGGTGTGGTCAATCAAGCATCAAAGTGGTGTTTTTTGATAGAATATCTTTGGAGATCTAGTTTATCTTCTAGATCAGTGCTGCTCAACAGAGCATTCTATGACGATAGAATTGTTCCATGAATTTGCATTGGCCTTTACAGGAGCTAGTAGCTGCCATACTAGTGCTGAACACTTGAACTGTGACTTGGATGACTAAGGAACTAAATTTTAATTGTACTTAATTCATTTAATTTTATTAATTTTAATTAATTTCAATTTATTTAAATTTAGCCAATTGTGGCCAGTGGCTGCCATGTTGGACAGTGCAGCTTTAGATGAAGATCAACATTTGGCACAGCCAAATCATATTTTATCAGCAATGAACTCAGACTATTACTCCCTCACCAGAAAAGAACCTTTAGTTCTAAGTACTTTGATTTATTTCTGCCATTATGGATCTTCACAAAACTTGGCACCACTAAAGTAATAGTGTGTCTTACTGTTTAGGTCGTCAGCTAAGAAAGAGACCAGAAGGCTGAGTTCCCTAAGAGTCTTTCCACACTGAAAACTTAGATCTCTATAGGATTACTCATCCCCCATCTTTAACCAAAAATAAGAAAAACCTCTTTCAGTGCTCAGGCCTTGACTCAAAGATTTCCTGCCTTGGTCATCAGTGTGTGTCTTCTTCCTACACTAGGCATTCTACTGCCCCTGGCAGTCCTATAGAATGCCATATCCCTCACCAGGCACCCACCCAAAATGCACAGTGAACCACAGGAAGGAAAAAGAATTCATTCCTTATTCAGATCTGTGCATCCAGTTTTCAGAATCATCGAGGAATAATGACCCATCAACAGTTCCATTCAGTGACCAGTCCTCCTTATTAAGCTTGCCAGCTGGGATGCCCTCTAGCCATATGCACACCTAGAGAACCTGCATGCATATGGTGAAAGTTTTCAACATCAACCTGTTAGAATGAAGTCGTAAGAGAAGAGACATTAGATAATCTTGGTGTCCTATTTACCCACCACCAAAAGCCCATCATTTGACAAATCACTCCACTTCTAGGGTTATAAAATCTAACCCTGATCTACTTTAATGTAACTCTGGGGTTACACTGAGGAAATACTAAATGAGAAACACCAACAAGAAACACATTCACATTAAACAAACTTGGATGATAAGGCATGTCTTCTCATGTCTGCAGCTAAAAAATTCCTCCTTACCTTAACATATTTTGAAAACACTGGAATTCAGCCACTTAATGCAGCCTTTAATCCCCACAGCAGTCCTTGGTTTAGCCACAATCTCTATAGGCTGATGGACCAGCCAGTGAAAATCAGTCAATGTGATAAACACCACATTAACAAACTGAAGAATAAAAACCATATGACCATCTCAACAGATGCAGAAAAATATTTTTGATAAAATCCAACATCAATTTATGACAAAAACCCCCCAGAAAGTGGGCATAGGTGGAATATACTTCAACATAATAAAGGCCATGTGTGACAAGCCCACAGCTAACATCATACTGAATGGTGAAAAACTGAAAGCATTTCCTCTAAGATCAGGAACAAGACGAGGATGCCCACTCTTGCCACTTTTATTCAACATCGTTTTGGAAGTTCTAGCCACAGCAATCAGAGAAGGAAAAAAAAAAATAGTAAAAGGAATCCAAATTGGAAAAGAAGAAGTAAAACTGTCACTGTTTGCAGATGACATGATACTACTACTACTACTACTACTACTACAGAAAACTACTAGAGCTCATCAATGAATTCAGTAAAGTTGCAGAATATAAAATTAATATACAGAAATCAGTTGCATTTCTATACAATAACAACAAAGTATTAGAAAAATAATAAAGAAACAATCCCATTACCATTGCGCCAAAAAGAATAAAATACCTAGATATAAACCCACCTAAGGAGACAAAGGACCTGTACTCTGGAAACTATAAGATACTGATGAAAGAAATTGAAGACAACACAAACAGATGGAAAGGTATACTGTGTTCTTGGATTGGAAGAATCAGTATTGTTAAAATGGCCATACTACCCAAAGCAATATACAGATTCAATGTAATCCCTATCAAATTTCACAAAACTGGAACAAAAAATTTTAAAGTTTGTACGGAAACACAAAAGACCCTGAATAGCCAAAACAATCTTCAGAAAGAAGAATGGAGCTAGAGGAATCACGCTCCCTGACTTCAGACTATACTACAAAGCTACAGTAATCAAAACAGTATGGTACTGACACATAGAAAGTCCAGAAATAAACCCATGCACTTACGGTCAATCTACAACAAAGGCGGCAAGAATATACAATGGAGAAAAGATAGTCTCTTCAATAAGTGGTGCTGGGAAAACTGGACAGCATATAAAAGGATGAAACTAGAGCATTTTCTAACACCATATACAAAAAATAAACCTAAAATGGATTAAAGACCTAAATGTTCAAAATTTGTAGATACTGACAGGCATATGTAGAATAGATAAACAAGATTATAATGTATAGCACAGGGAAACATATACAAGATCTTGTGTTAGCTCATAGTGGAAAAAAAAGCGACAATAAATACATGTATGTTCAGGTATAACTGAAAAGTTGTGCTCTACACTGGAACTTGACACAACGTTGTAAAATGACTATAACTCAATAAAAAAATTTTTTTAAAAAGATCTAAATGTAAGACTGGATACTATAAAACTCCTAAAGGAAAACACAGGCAGAACACTCCTTGACATAAATTTCAGCAATTTTTTTTTCAAACCAGCTCATAGAGTAATGGAAATAAAAGCAAAAATAAACAAATGGGACCTCATTAAACTTGAAAGCTTTTGCACAGCAAAGGAAACCATAAACAAAATGAAAAAACAACCTACAGAATGGGAGAAAATATTTGCAAATGACATGATTGACAAGGGACTAATTTCCAAAATATACAAATAGCTGATACAGCTTAATATTAAAAAAAACAAACAACCCAATCCAAAAATGAACAGAAGACATAAATAGATATTTCTCAAAAGAAGATATTCAGATGGCCAACAGGCACATGAAAAGACGCTCAATATCGCTATTAGAGAAATACAAATCAAAACTACAATGAGGTATCATCTCAACCAGTCAGAACGGTCATCATTAAAAAGTCTCCAAATAATAAATGCTGGAGAGGGTGTGGAGAAAAAGGAACCCTCCTAAACTGCTGGTGGGGATGTAAATTGGTGCAGCCACTATGGAGGACAGTATGGGGGTTCCTTAAAAAACTAAAAAATGGACTTACCACGTGATCCAGCCATCCCACTCCTGGGCATATATTCAGAGAAAACTATAATTTGAAAAGACACATGCACCCCAATGTTCATAGCAGCTCTATTTACAATAGCCAAGACATGGGAACGACCTAGAGGAAAAGGGAGGGGAGGGATAAATTAGGACCTTGGGATTAGCAGATACACATTACATAAAATAGATAAACATTATATAAAATAAATAAACAAAAGGGAACTACTGTATAGCACAGGGAACTATATTCAATATCTTGTAATAAAATATAACGGAAAAGAATCTGAACAAAAAAAATGTATGTATGTATACGTATAAATGGATTGCTTTGCCATACACCTGAAACTAACATTGTAAATCAACTACAACTTCAATAAAACATAAAATAAAATAAAATAAAATAGTAACAATGAACACACCCTTACAGTACCTAAAATGCATCCTCTTGCTTTTTCTATGCTTAATTACACCCCCGCCTCATACCTTAGAACATTTAGAAATAACCTCCTCCAAAATCAGTTCCACTTTGCACTAGCCTGTAATCATCTCGTTAACACATGTCAACATTTTCAGGAAAGGTCTTGGGACAAGACTTGAACGTCCATCTGAAGTACCATCCTCCAGTGAGTAAGGAAGAGCTGCCCAAGACTGAGGGACAACTGCCTAG